AACACTTACTAGCTGTGTGACACTAGGCAAGTCACTTAACCCCAACTGCCTAAAAAAAATTTTAAAAAATAAAAATAAGGCTGAGTCTTGAACTGGGAGCCAAGAGATGGGTTCGAGTTCTAGCTTTGCCACTAACTATTGCATGACCTCAGAGAAGTTGCTTCTTCTCTCTAGGGCTCATTTTGAGGGCATTTGATGAGATAGTTTCTAAGGACTCTTCCAGGCTTGAAATTCTCTCTCAGCAGATGACTACACAACCTACTTTACTGAAATGATTAAAGCTAGCCACCTAGGCTACCCCACATCCTCTTTCTGATACCTAAAAACCTGTAACCCTGGTCTCAGAGGAGGAAGTGATTCCTCCCCTCCCCATTTTGCCAAGGCTGAGTCACCTTTATATTCTTATTCTAATCACCTCTTGTCTCTTTCAGGACCTCCTGCGCTACCCATGATGCCAACTTTCAACCTGCTGTGATTTCAACTTCAATTTCTTCCTCTCTAAGCACTCCCTCTATTCTGCTTATAACCACACTTAAGTATTCCTTCAAGTTATCACTTCTCTGTCACTTTACCCCCAAACTTCTCTATACTGCCTGCCTCTATTTCCTCACCAACCTCATTTCTCAATCCCAAGCAATCTTGCTTCTATACCTCATCCCACTTTATTCAAATTATCCTCCACAAAACTATCAATGATCTAATTTCAAATCCAGGAGACTTTTCTCAGTTCTTCTCTTCCTTAAGTCCCTCAGTAGCATTTGACACACTTATGCCATTGTTCTCCTTTTTGATTAGGGTTTTCTCCTCCCTTGTCTTCCAGGATACAGCTCTCACTCAATTTAGTCCATCTGTTGACAAGCATTTATTAGGCCCTTATTATATGTCAGGCACAATTTACTAACCACTCATTAAATGTTTACTATTAGCAAAGCATCATGCTGGGGCTTTCATTAAAAGAAGAAAAATAAAACAGCTTATTATAGTTTATATGAAGGGCAAAGGAGAGGCCCAGTAAAAGCGCCTTAGGAAAACCTGAGGAATACAAGAACACTTTCCACTGAGGTCTTCATAGTCGTCCTAACTCTCTCTGGTTTCTCTTTGTTTCTCTTCACCTTTTCTGGTTCCCCTTCTTGCTCCCTCAGTGTGGGCTTTTTCCTTACTTCTCTTTTCTACAGTCATCTCAGCCACTTCTACTGTCTTAATTATTATCTCTATGCAAATAAGCTCAATTCACCAGGTTTAACGTGGTGTGGCCCAATTCCTTTTGAATATCAATCTCCACCTAGCACTCTGTCAACTCCTCAAATTCAGGATGTTCGAAACTGAACTCATCCTTTTCTTATTTCTGCTGATGGTACCACCATCCTCCCACTCAAATTTGAAATCTTGCAGCTATCTTTGATTCTTTTCTCTCCCAACATCCCCAACATCTACAATGGTGCTCAGTCCTGTTGACAATCTCTCTTTCACAGTCCAATTATCTTAGTGCCAATCCTCATAACCTCTCCTGAAATATTTTAATTGCCTCCTAACTGGCCTCTCTCCTTCCAATATCTCCTTCATTTCACTTCTCAGGTCATATGTTTTGTATATATGTACATGCTGCTTCCCTCTTTTGCATGCAACCTTTTTGAGGACTGGGACTGTTTCATTTTTTTGTCCTTGTACCCCCTACACCTAGCACAATAGCTAGCATGTACCTTTTAATAAACCACGTCCTGATTGATTGATCCTCCCAATGGACAAGTTTTATCATGTAACTGCTATTCAAAAACCTTCAAATGAACCAAGAGAACAATATACATAGTGACAGAGAAACTCAACATCCCCAAAACTGAACTCATTATCTTGCTCCCTTTAATACTCCTCTCTTACAAACTTCCCATCTTCCCAGTCATCCAGGCTTGCAACCCAGATGTCACACTCTCTCACTTTCCACATTCAATCTGTTACCAAATCTTGCTGCTTTTACTTTTGTAAGATCTTTCCTATATACATACCCCCTTCTCTCCTCCTGCTGTAGGCTGTCACCTTCTCATGCCTGAACTATTGCAGTAGCCTGCCTGGTTGGTCTCCCTGCCCCAAAACTCTCCCCACTCCAGTCCATTCTCTGCTCAGTGGCCAAATTAATCTTCCCAAAGCGCAGATCCGGCCACCTCGTTGCCCCTATTTAATTAAGTCCATTGGTTCCCTGTCACCTCCAGGATCAGCTATAAAGTCCTCAGTTTGACAACCTGATCCCCTCCTATCATTCCGGTTTTCATACCTTTCTCCCCTTCCTGCACCCTTCAATATAGTGACAATGAGCTCCTTGCATGTGTCATTCTATCCTGAGATTCTAGGCTTCTGACTAGCTGTTCCATATGCCTGGAATACTTACTTTCCCTCCTGGCTTCCCCAACTTCCTTCAAGTTCCAGCTAAAATCCCAAATTCTGTTTGAAGACTTTTCTGATCCCCCTTTAATATTAGTGCCTTCCCTCAACCACCTCCATATTTTCCCACATACATCTTGTTTGTACCTAGTTATCTTCACCTTGTTTCTCCCATTAGACAGTGAGCTCTTTGAGAGGAGGGGCTATCTTTTGCCTTTCTTTTAATCCCGGGACCTTAAGTGCCTAGCACGGAGCAGGAACTTAATGAATGCTTGTTGACCTATAACAGCAACATAAAGGAAGGGATGAAGGAAATTGTTCTGAGGAACTCAAAAACCAACAAAGGTCCCAGAGAACAGATAACATTCATCCTCTCTCTTCAGGGACAGGATGTCATAAACCCTGTCACATATGGTAGTTCTCCATATTGGATTTTTTTCTTTGTCACAACACAGGATTCAATCTGAAGGATGGGTAGAAATGTCTGTCATAAACACAAAAGCCATTAATAAAACATAAAAAAAGAAAATATTTCAGGTGCAGATTTATTACCTGCAGGATAAGATACAAACTCCTTTGCTTGGCATTCAAAGATCCATGGAATTTATCTCCAACCTACCTTATCTCACAAGGCTCATCTTTCCATTCGAGCCAAACTAAACTGCTGCCTTCTCCCTATCCTGCTTCTCTAGACTCTATATACAAATAAATAAATAAATACACACCATCCGCCATGTCTAAAACAAACTTGCATAGTGGATAAAGTGTGGGGCCAGTTGTTAGGAAGACCTAAATTCAAGCAGGGCCTCAGACATTTTACTAGTTGTGTGACCCTGGGCAAGTCACAACCTGCGGGGAGAGCAAAAAGTGCTTAGCACAGTGCTTGGCACATAGTAGGTGCTATATAAATGCTCATTCCTTCCCTCTCTTTCTGGAAATCTAATTCAATTTAAGGGCCACAACTTCTGTGAAGGTTTCTTAGATCTCTACCAGCTAAAATCTAGCTTTCTTCTTCTCTTTGAATTCCTGCTCGGGACTTTGTAATTTGCATAGTTACCTGTGTACATGTTATCCCATGACTGAATTCCAAGATCATTTAGGTCAGGGACCTAAGTCATTCTTCATCTTTACATCCCCAAAGATTAACTAGCACATACAAACTACATCCTTAATAAAGTTTTCTTGAATTAAACTGAACTCATTTAGACCTCTGTACAACTTGGGTCTTTCTCAGACTCAGAATTATCAATCTTTTGAAAAGAGAAAGAAACTACCTTTTAAATTGTGAGATAATCTCAGATTTTTAGCAAGGAAAAATCCCACTGAGTACTTTCGGTTTGCCCAGGCCCCACAAATTTTACACTCTTTCGGCCACTATTACTTACCATTACAATTTAAGTTCCTTCCTATCTTTCTCAAAAATAGAAATATAGAACTGGAAGACACATTGGAGATTATTTTGTCCAACTCCCTCATTTTACAGATGAAAATAAGGCTGAGAAACATTAAATGACTTACTCAACATCTCTAGCTAGAGGTAGGGTCAAGACTAGACAGACCCAAGTCTGCTGTCTCCCCTGCTCCTTCTGTTACACAGCACAGCTGGAAGCTGACCCAACTGTACAGCCCTCTGAAGTGGTTCACACACTTAAAAGCAACTAATGGAACCAGAAAAAAAAAGTAAACTCCACAATAATAAATAAGTATGGACTCTAAAGATTGCTAATAATTCACCTGACAGTTTAAGGTTTACAACGTTTTTTCTCAAAGTCACTTTTTAAGGCGAGTATTCCCTAAATTACCACCCCTATTTTACAGAAGGGAATAAGTGAGGCTCAGAGAAATTAAATGACTTGCCCAAGGCCACTCGGCTATAAAATTTCAGAACCAGGATTTGAACTTAGTTCTCCTGAATACAAATCCAACGCTCTAAATTATAACCCTGTTGCCTTCTAATTAAAAAAAATAAAGTATACTTGTAGCCTATAATACCCAAATGTGAGCTCCCTCTGCAGCCATGGGCATGCAATAAATCAAAAAGTGAAAGCTCCTAGTCCTGGCTTGATGCAAGTAAGGGGCACCTGTATAGTGACTGCGACAGTTGCAAGCGTTGCTCTGTCCTGAGGCCACCCCGGGAGGAGTCCTTTTGCTCAGCCCTGTCCCCTTCTGCCTTCTGAGTGCCCTCAAACTGGGATTCTTGGGGACCGGGAGGAGCCAAGCTTAACGCTCTAGCGCCCAGCCAGTGCCTGGCCAGCCCTGCGGGGCCGGGGCCATGACTGAGGGCTGCACAGCGATCCTGAGCCCGGTAGCCCTGGACAGCCTGGAAGCAATTGGAAGTTCAACCCCTCCTTCGTCTCTGTAGCTCGGGGCCTCATCTGGGGCTTGCTTTCTCCGAGACCTTGACCATAAATGTCCCTAGAGCCCGGCGGGGGAAAAAGCGGGGTGGGGTTGAGGAAAGAGGGGAAGCTGTCCTGCAAGCAAGAGGTCAGCAGGTCTGGGGGGCACGCGTGGCAAGGCTCGCGCTGTATCCCCATCGTCTACCCCTCCACCTCGGGGGGGGGGGAGGAAAGCCCCGCTGTTTCTCCTGGCCCGGGCGAGCCCAGGCGCAGGAAGGTCGCAGAACTTACCGGCGGCAAGCTCAGCGCCCGGGATTGGGGTTCGGAGAACGCGGCCCAGGCAGGGAAGCCGCAACTCTAGCAGCAGCAGCAGCAGCAGCAGCAGCAGCAGCAAACACCCTCCGGCCCTACGAGCCGCGCTAGCTCCGAGCCCGCAGTCCGCGTGGAAACCCCACCCCCCGCCTCTCCCGGCCGGCTCGCCTCCCATTGGTGGAAGTGGGTCCGGCTTCTGCTGCGTGCCAGCTGGCCCAGACCTGCCAGGAGCCGCCTGGGCGCCTTCCCACGGCTTTCCTAGCCGGTGTAATCTGCAGCCTACTGAGAGGGGCAAAGGAAGTCAGCAAACCACATTTGCACGTTGTCTCCACCATTAGACTGGAAGCTCCCAGAGGGCAGGGATTGGCTTTGCTACTGTTTGTATCCCCAGTGCTTCAGTACAGTGTCTAGCACGTAGTAGGCGAGGAATGAAGACTTGTTGACTGACTGACTTATTCCTTTTCTGGTGGTACAAGCAAGAAGTCCCCCGCATAAACCCCGAGCTGGGTGGATGCCCGGCGTGAAAGAACTAAGCAGGCCCGGGTGTGTGCGACGGTTTTTTGTTTGTTTGTTTTGTTTTGTTTTGTTGTGGGAGGAAACGACCAAGAGAACTCTGCCGCCCAGTGGCTGCCACGGCACTGTAGGTCGTGGTTCTTTCAAGTCAACGAGCATTTATTAAGCACCTACTATGTGCCGAGCACTGTGCTAAACTCTGGAGGTACAAGAAGAAGAAAAAAGGCAAAGAGAGCGCCTTCCCTTAAGGAGCTCACAATCTAATGAGGGAAATTGCAGTCAATCACCTCACTTTCCTCCTCCGCTGCGGTGTGGGGCCGGGGGATATGTGGGCATTTCAATCTGCCGCTGACCTAGTCCAACCTCTCAAGATGCGGAGGGGCCCTTTACGGGAGGAAGTTCTGTCAGGCACCCCCTAGTTCCCCTACGTTTGCAAAGAGGGGGAAACTGTCGTAACAGGAAGTAACGTGGTTCTGTGGAAAGAGCCTGGGACGGAGAGCCAGAATACAGGGGTTTGTGTTCTAGCTTGCCACCTCCGTGTTTTTAACTTACCCTCTTTGGCTAGAAGTTTCCTCACCTCTTAAATTAGGGGGCTGGATGAGGTGATTTCTTCCAGATCTAAGACCTGGAAGTGGGTGGGTGGCAGGACTCTTGGTTTGATCCCCGAAATGAAAAGAGGACGAGCCCTCTTGCCTCTCTGTTCTCAATTTCCTTTTTTTAGGAGAAGGAAACCGCCAGTTCCTAGCTCCAGCTCCCAGGAGTCCTAACACAGATCTTAAGGACCACTGTGCCTCGGCCCGATTTGGAGTCCTATGTGTGCCCCTGGGGTTTTCAGAGTGGGGGAGGAACCTTCCCGGTGGCTGGAAACATTGTTAGTTTCCCCATGTTGTATTCTCAATTAACTGTTGTTTGCTTAGAATGTTTTATGGCGACTTACAGAAACAGAAAATAAAACTGTTTCAAAAATATGTGTGTGAAAGGAGGAAAGGAGTGTGTATATATTTTCCTATTCAGGGCAACTGAACAAATCAAAAGGTCATTTGGTTTGTTTTGCTGCTCAAGGATTTACAAGATGCCAAAATCCATGGAATGTACCTGGGGAACATATTACTCCTCTCTATTACACACTAGGAGAAATGAGATTTTAATTAAGAGCCAACTAACCCAATTTCTTCATCGTACAAAGGAAACTGAGATCCAAAGAGATCTTAAGTTACTTTGCTAAGCTGGTTATTGGCAGAAATCAAGTCACAAGAATCCCGGTGTCCTTGGCAATATACCCCGTAACCTGTCAATTAGAAACAATTGGAAACCACTTCATTTCCCCTTATACCATTTGCCTCGTCCTGATGCATCATAATACTGTAAATTTTACAACCACTACCATAACCAGGAAATAGAAAGGTACTTTTTGTCATCTAGTGTTTGGTTGTAACCTTTTTTTTTTTTTGGTAAGGCAATTGGGGTTAAGTGACTTGCCCAGGGTCACAACAGCTAGTAAGTATCATGTGTTTGAGAATGAATTTGAACTCAAGTCCTCCTGACTCCAGGGCCAGTGCTCTATCCATTGCGCCATCCAGCTGCCCCCTAACCTTGTTTTTTAAAAATTGTTTTTTGTTTGTTTCATATGTTTGTTTTATTCGTGTTGCGTGTGTGTATTTAGTGTAGACAAATCTCCTGAAAAGGGAGATTATCTGCCCAGGTCATATTGTCCAGCCAGTCCCAGATGCAATTAAGTATTATGATTGCCAAAACGATTGGAGCAAAGAATTGTAAAAGCAAGCAAGAGAATACTTTCGTTAGTCTCTAAAGCAAAGTAAATAAATGTGCTGCCAAAAAAAACCCACACTTGTACATGGTTCCTGAGGATTGGTGATGAACTAGTCTACTCACCTCTTAAGGGGGAGATAATGGACTCAGGATGTGCAATGAGATATATTTTGGACTCTAACAATGTAGGAATTTGTTTTCCTTATGATGTATTGTAGAGCTAGACCTAATGTAGAGCAAAATCAAAAATAATTTAACAGTAACAATTTTTTTTGAAGAGCAGTTATCTAAGCTACCATTAAATACTTATTAAAATGGAAACAAAAAAAAGTCAGAAACTGAAAATCACAACAGGCTACTCAAGAAAGATATCTACCACATAGGAAGATCTGGGCCCAGTACAAATTGAGAAATAGGCAGTTATAAGATATAATCAATCAGTTAGGAAACATTTATTAAGTGCCTACTATGTGCCTGGCACTGTGCTAAACTCTAGGGTTACAAAAAGAGGCAAAAGACTGTCCCTGAACTCCAGTTTACAATCTAATGGGGGAGAAAATATGCAAACAAATACATACAAAGCAAGCTATATACAGAATCAATAGGATACTTAACAAAGGAAGGAACTAGAATGAAGAGAGTTGGGAAAGGCTTACAGTAAAGTATGAGATTTTAGTTGGGACCTAAAGGTCAGTGGTCAGAGCAGAGGAGAGAGAGCCTTCCAGAGAAAGTGCCTGAAGCCGAGAGATGCAGCCCAGAGATTGCGTATCTTATTGGTGAAACATCAAAGTAGTTAGTTTCACTAGATCAAAGAGCACATGAATGGGCGTAAAGTGTGTAAAACTGAAAAGATAGGAAGGGGCTAGGTTATGAAGCTCTTTAAGCGCCAAACAGAACATTTTATATTTGGTCCTGGAGGCAATAGGGAACTAATGGAGTGTTTGTAGGAGAGCAATGTGGTCAGACCCTCAGAATTAGGAAAATCACTTTGTTGGCTACATGGAAGATGGACTTGAAGGGGGAGGACTTGAGCAGGGTGGATCTACCAGCAGGCTGTTGCAGTAATCCAGGTGTGAGGTTATGAAAGGCTATACCGGAATAGTGAGTGTCAGAGAAGAAAGAGGGCATATTCCAGAGATATTACAAAGTCAATACTGACAGGCCTTGGCAACAGATTGGATATGGGGTGGGGGTGGGGGAGGTTGAGAGACAGTGAGGAAAGGAGAATGACACCTAGGTTTCAAATCTAAGGGACTGGAAGGATTGTGTTGCCCTTGATGGTAATAGGGATGGTAGGAAGGAGGGAGGGTTTAGGGGGAAAGATAATGAGTTTAATTTTGGACATGTTGAGTTTAAGATGTCTATTGGCATCTGATTTGAGATCTGAAAGGCAGTTGGAGATGTGAGATTGGAGGTCAGCAGAGAGTAGGGCAGGAAAGGTGGATGTGAGAATCATTAGCATAGAGATGATAATTAAATCCATAGGAGCTGATGAGAACACCAAGTAAAATAGTATAGAAGAAGAGCAAAGGGCCCAGGACAGAATCATGTGGGACACTTATAGTTAAAAAGCATCATCTGGAGAAGCATCCAGCAAAGCAGACTTGCTAATTTTATGACCTTGGGCAGAAGTCACTCAGTAACTCTGAGCTTCCATTTCCTCACCTGTCTTCCTCACTTAAGGACATAATTACATGTACTATCCATTCCACTGGGTGGTTATTGGGAGGAAAGTGCATTGCAAACCATAAAACAGCTCACCTTTATATAGCATTTCAAAGTTTTGCAAAGTTATTTACAAAGGTTATCTCATTTAGTGAGCAGCACCAGAACATTGTACACAGTAACAGCAACATTGTTCGATGACCAACTTTGACGGACGTAGCTCAATTCCAAAAGACTTATGATGGAAAATGCTATCCACATCCAGAGAAAGAACTTTGGAGTCTGAATACGGATTGAAGCGTACTATTTTCTTTTTTTTCCCTTTCTTGTGGTTTTTCTCTTTTGTTCTGATTTGTCTTTCACAACATGACTAATATGGAAATGTGTTTAATATGATGGTACATGTATAGACTATATCAGATTGCTTGCTGTCTTGGGGAGGGGCATGAGGAAGGGGAGAAAATTTAGAACTCAAAATCTTATAAAAGTGAATATTGAAAACTATCTTTATATGTAATTGGAAAAAATAAAATACCATTAAGTGGGGAAAAAGTTATCTCATTTAATCCTCACAACTCTGGGAAGTGGATGCTATTATGATCCCAATATGCAGATGATGAAAGTGAGGCAGGCAAGGGCCAGAGACACACAGGTGAGCTTGATTTTGAACTCATGACTTCTTGACTTCAAGTCCAATGCTCAATCCACTCCATCAGTTTGTTCTCTAGGTAGCTGGGTGGCATAACTGACGGAGCTTTGGACATGGATTCAGGAAATCCTGCATTCAAATACAGCCTGGGTTCAAATACTACCCTTGACAACTATTATCTAGGTGACCATTGGCAAGTCACTCCATCTCTTCCTCCCCCTACTTCCATCAATCTTTAAAGCTCTAAATTAAGTAGCTCATTTGCAACAGAGAAGTAAGTTTCCACATATGGAGATCACCACCCACAGGGATAAAACGACTGGTCTAGACTCTAAAAGAAAAAAACAACAACGTTGTGTCTTCTTCAAATATAAGTTATCAAAAGTGCTGGAGGATGGGATCATCTGGCTCTTCCAGCTGTGAAATGTGTTATCCCTAGGAAAGTATGGGTACTTGAAAATATCATCTGCATTAGATAACAGCAATGCTAGCCCTGAAAACTACGCGGTCAGTCCGTT